CTCCACATGGGTTCAGCTCAAAATGCAGGGGAGTCCACACTCTGGAGCACGTTCGCCATGAGGGATGAGTGGGACAGGAGCATGACAAATACCCCCGTCCCCGGTGTTCCAGAGAGTGGAAGGAGGACCTTGGATGCTTCTTAGAGCCCAGGTGGGATGACCCGGTCTGCAGGCATCAGCCCCAGTGACGCACCCCTCCCTGGCTGTCCTTCTTTCCCTCAGCCCGCTAGGACCGTCTCCCGCCCCGTCCCTGCTGAGGCCCTGCTCTCTCTAGGCTGTGACTGAATGCAATGCAATGCGCTCACAGCTCAGCAGGCTGCACTGACCCCAGAGCGGCTCCTTACTAGGCTGAGGGGAGGGTTGCCCCAGGCCTCTCTGTGGGGCTGATGGGTGGTCTCCCCTCCGGGTGCGTCTCCAGTCTTCTCAGGACACCTGTGTTCTGGACTCGGGCCTGCCCTCTTGGTCTTGGTAAAGTCCGTTTCCGAACTAGGCCATGCTGAGGTATTGGGCTTAGGACACCGCCAAGTGAATTTGGCAGGGACACCATACAGCCCCTCCCGGACACCCACATGAAGACAGGGCTAGGGGCCCCAGCCCTAGAAAGCAAGTCTTCAGGGTGGGATGTGGCACTGGACCCCCTCTGTAAGACTCACTTTCCAGAACAGTGTAACTAAAGTTGCTTAACCAGCTTGCAGATGTGCCAACCGCAGAGCGTACACATTCCCAGAAAGTTCCTGAACAAATGAAACCCCCAGACAGGTCGCTCTTGAGAAATGACTTCTCAGAATGGTGGCCAGTCACCGGCCCTTTGTTCCTTCTTACTTTCAGGTTCTCCTCCCACCTCAGGGCCTTTCTGAAGGGCTTGTCCTGAGCCTGTGCCTTTCTGTCAGACGAGGGCGAGGGCGGGAAGGCACAATTAATACCTAATAAGGGAACAATGACGTGTAGTACTCAGCCCAGGAGGAGCCGAGCGAGGTCTTGCGCACCAGGGAATGCCTGCCCAGCAGACACCCCATCTGGCAAGATGGCCATTCAAGTCTCGCTTTGCTGGATCTCGTGCCTCTGAAACATTCTGGGGAACTGGACAGGTGAGCTCGTTTCTCACACCCTCCCAGTCAGACAGCACCCAGGACCCCAGCGCTGGGGAGTGGGGTGTGGACAAGCTGCTGTGTGCAGCCTGACGCTCGCCGCAAACAGAAAAGACACGGAGAGGCACGGGGGGGGGGGGGGGGGGTGCGGCCATGCCCTGAATGGGTGTGGGCCCAGCGGAAAAGTCCAAGGGAAAAGGCAGGGTCAGGCGGCCACACCAACCTGAGCCGTGCTGGGAGGGCCGAAGGCATGTGCAGAGTTTGGAAATACACGCTTCTTTTTCATGTCTATTTCCTATCTTCTCCATGTTCACAGGACAGGGTCGAAGGAACCCTACTACCCAGTGCAGTGCACGCCCTGCTGGACCCCACCGTCGGATGCACAGCTGCAGCAGGCTGCTCGTGCTGGAGCGGGTCCTGGCTCATGTTCTTGCTGGTTTGTTTTGTTTTGTTGTTGTTTTTAAGAGATTTTTACTATAGGGCAGGCGTGCTTGCCAGAGAGACCGAGAGACGGAAAGTGAGAAATCACCCCCAGGGGGGATGGCCACGCCGCAACTCCTTCTCCTCCATTCTCCCACTTGGGATTTGGGGCACGCATGCACATGTGCCAGGTGAGAGTTTTAAGCCGCTGGGTCCAGAACTCGAGCCATGGTGGACTATGCAGGAATCTAGTGATGTAACCATTACGCCATCTGCTGGCCCCTCGTGCTCCTGCTCCGACCGCCTGTCTCCAGGTCCAGACGTGTGCACTGAGCTTGGCTGGCCAAACAGCGGTGAGTCAGCTCCACAACGGTCCTGGTTCCAAATCCAGCAGTGCAGAGGCCCGAGATGCCGACGCCCCCAGGTTCTGGGACAGAGTCCTCTTTGTTAGAGACAAGACAGAGACAGATCGGGCCTCAGAGGACACGTGCGGACCGCAAAGGAGGACCTCAGTGCACCCTCACAGTATGCTTGGAGGGCTCAGAAAGCCAACGGTTCGGCTCCTCACTATCAGGAACTGGCAGGACTGGAACCTGAGCCCAAGGGGCTGGCCCCCTTTCCTGAGCACAGCACGTCGGTTTCCCTGAGCTACAGGCTTCCCCGTCCCAGGACCCTACCATGCTCTGCAGATGTCTGATGGTGCTCCCCCATCAGAAGGAATGATCAAATGCCTGAGAACTTTTTTGAAATCATCTTTAATGTATTTTTAGTATTTTTTTGCCTCATTTACCAGATAAATCATCTAAATAAATAGATGCTATACAGTCTCTTACCAATATCAGTACAAAAATAAAACCGTGCTCTGCATCTGCTGTCTCTCCCAGCACACACTCACTCAGAAAAGGCATGTGCTCAGAGTCCACTCGTGCCCCACCCTCCCAAATACATTCAATGAGTCTGAACAAAGCTTGAAGCTCATTCTGTGCAAAGGAAGCGTTCTTGTGCTGAGACCTGGCAGCCACAGGGGCCACGCATAAAGCCAAAGCCCAACTGCCTCACAGGAGCGCAGCGCCTTCCCCTGGAGCAAGGCCAGGAAACCACCAACCAACGGGGGATTATCGCCCCCGGGAGCAACGCTGATCATGGAGCCCCGAGGCTTGGCCTTGGCCACGGCATCACAAGTGACTGCCGGGGGTGGAAGGACATTCTCTTCACCCCACCCTGCTGCAAAAGAACGAGTACCAGCCGGTCTCTACATTCAGATCGGGGAGGGGGCTGGGGGAAGAAGGCAGGTGGTCAATCACTTTCTAAGTTCTCCCCCCACCCCCAAGAGTACTGGCCTTCTGCGGGGGGTGTGGGGGTGGGAGTGGGAGATCACTGTCCACCTTGCCTGCCCTCACCCTAGACCGCTGCTGGGACATGCTCACAGGTGACCTCTATGAGGTCACGTGTCCTGGGGCGAGGGCAAGGTCCTAATAGCCACAGTCCTTTCCCCCAGGGGGCGGGCTCAGGGCAGCCCTTGCGCCCTGTGGCTGCCCTAAGCTGGGCGTCTGGGTCCACCCATCCCAGGCCGCATTCTGGGGCTGGCTGGCCCTCCCTGAGCTGCAGGTATCCCCGTCCCTGGACCCTACCAAGCTGAGTAAGCGAAATTTCGTCTGCAGCTGCGGGCAGGGAACCAGCTGCCTCACACACACAGAAGCCCCCGGGCACCACAACCGCACCAGCGGCACAAACAACTTTGCGAAAGTGCCCAGGAAGCAGGAAGAGGCCCCAGGCTCCGGGGGTAGGGACTGTGACTCCCACCAGACACTGCTAGACATAGCCACGTGCCCGGCTGGAGAAAGAGCCCAACTGCCCCTTCACCTCCACTGGGAGCCCCCGGCCCAGAGCCACCCCCACTCCCTGGTCGCTCCCCGCCCCACGGGTCCCACAGCTGAACCTCCGCCCCGTCCTTTTCCTGGCCCGCCCCGGTCCTCGAGGTCCGAGTCCCTGGGCTGGGGTGAACCACGTCACCCCAGAGGGGACCGCCCCCAATGGAAGCACTGAATTGACCCTGGACACTAAGAACTAAGGAAGAAGGGGAGAGAAAGACTCAGGGATCTGGAAATCTTGCCTACGCAGCACCCCGACCGATAAAGGGTGCGGGCTGTCTTTGGTGTGGGAACTAGGGAAGATGGAGTCTGGCTGAAGAACCCCATCCTTGCCTCAGCAGAGAAGTTGCTGCCTTCCCAAGGACACAGCCCAGTTGGGGACGGCCAGGGCAGGCAGGCAGGTTTCAAACTCCTCGGCCACACCCCACTCTACATTATCACCACCCTGACTCCGGGTGGTGAAGGGCGGCGTGCAGCACCCCTGCTCCCCTGAGCTCTCCCACCCCCATTCTGGCTTCTTCCCCCACAGAGCTGGGATGGAGGGAGAAGTTCCCCTCACTGGCAGGGAAGCAGTGTTGGGGAACCTCTGTGCAAAGGCGAACACGCCCTTATTTTGGCAGAACGGCCCCTCACAGGGTGTGGGGCTTGTGCACGCCCGATCCTGAGGGGACTGGCAGAGGTCCCCCTCCACAAGAAAGCAAGGCCAGCCCCGGCTGTGGTGTTAGGTTGGGTAGGGAGGGCACAGGATGGGCGGGAGGGCTTCAGGAGTGGAGGCCGCCCTGAGACGTGGTGGGGCACTCCCTCCTTGCTGCCGCTGCCCACGCCCGTACCCACACGGGGGCTGGCTGGTCGGCGGGCACAGAAGAGGGGGATCGGAGGGGCTGCAGTCACCTGAGTCAGAACAGAGCGGGAACCCCTCTGGGGAGGAAGGACAGGGCCCACATCTGAGAGCCTGCACTGAGGCACTGGCACAACTTTGCAGACACATGCATGTGCGTCTGGCTAGGTGCAGCCACAGACCACTGGGCACGCCTGGCGTGTTGGGCACGCCGGGTATGTCAGGAGCACAGACGGTGGCCGGAGCTGGCCCTCCACTGACAGCTGTGAGCACACACAGGACAGGTCCTAGCGTGCAATGTGCATGCAGGGTAGGGTGAGTGGGGAGCCCCGGCCAGTGCTGTGCTGTGAACCACCCGTGTTCACCTGCTCGGGGTCTAAATGAAGTGTGCAAGGCCCACGCGGACATGTCTGGAGACACGTGCACACATCTGCAGGGCGACGCATGCACACCTGTGCGGCTGGGTGTGCCCGTGAGCCTTCCCTCCCAGGCCAGACCACGAGGGAGCTCTGAGCAGGAGGGCCCCAGCCAACAGCCTGCTCTCCAGGAGGGGCAGAGGCCTCACCCCTTCCTCCTGCCCCTTGTCCCTGACCCTGTCACTTTGGTCGAAGCCAGCCTCCACATCCCACCACGAAGCTGGAGTGGAAAGTTCAAAATAAAGACCCAATCAAAAACAAAACGCAAAGGAAAGAGGAAAAGCCACCAGAAAGTCTGGGTGGGTCTTGGGGCAGGCGTGGCCTTCCGAGCTCGCTTAACTCCTGGAAGCAGCTGCCGTGTCTCCAGGGGAGAACTGCAGAAGGCATCCAGGGCAGGGCAGCCCTGTCCCCACTCTGCCTTGGACAGGGTGGCCCAGCCGGCAGAAGAAAGACCAGCTTCCACGCCCCGGCCCCCAAGCCTCCGGTAAGCATCCCTCGTGGAGAAGGGGGCACGGTAGGGGAGAGAGCGGGGTCGCCCCCTTCTGTTCAGTATCTTTAAGATAATTTCCCGCCCTTGACCCTCCCCATCTCTGAAAGTCCCCGTCCCAAGCCCAGAAGAAAGCAGTGTAAGAGTAAAAACATGGTGATTCAGAACTTCCCACTGCGGTCTCGGAAGAAGCCCTCAGCGGCCTGGGCCTCGCGGAAGGTGACGGTGATGGAGTTGGCGGTGATGTCGGTCACGGTCACCTCACTCGGGGGGAGCGTGGGTGTCCACGGAGGGGGCCCATCGGCCAGGTCTGCATCTGCTGTAGTCATGGACAGAGACAGAGACGGGGACAGGGACAGCATTGGCAACCCAGCAGAAAGGGGGGTGGGGGCGGCATGCAGACCACCCCGCCCGGCCCCCACAGCGGGTCCTCCTCTGGCCAGCTCGGGGGCTGGCTCGTGGCCGGGCACACGAGAGGAGCCACGTCGTGCATCAGCCCTGCTCAGGCAAGAGCCCATCTGGAACTGACGCCATCGAGAGCCCCGAGTCCCAACCTGACTACCCCACAGGCTGTGTGGCCTTAACGGCACCACCGGCCCTCTCTGGACCCAGCTCGGCAGGCCCTGCCGTCCCACGGGGGCCTGCTCGGCTCTGAGGCTCTCTGGCCAGGAACACCTACCCTCCTCTTCAGGGGTCTGCTCAGTGGGCTCCCACTCGCCGGCCGCCTGCAGGGCGTCTGGGGCCGGAGACTCCTGCAGGAAGAGCTCCCGTCGATGGCTGTGACTCTCCAGGTTGGGCCCGCGGGGCGGGAACTTCTTGCGTGAGAGTCGCAGGTACTTGTGGGCCTTGCGTGGCTTGCGGAGCGGGAAGGGCAGGGTGGGCACCAAGGGGCCCTTGTCCACCAGCTCGGGCGCCCCTGCCTTGACCACCCCCTCGGGGCTCCCGCTGGCGAGTGGGCGAGCCAGGGAGAAGCAGAGCTTCTCCTTCCCCGCGGC